CAAGATTTTGAGAGCCTCGGCTTCCTTCCCCTTTTTGACCAGGTAGCGCGGAGATTCTGGTACAAAGAAGACCAAGAAAACTTGAACGAGGGAGGGAACGGCCTGCAGAACTGACGGCAGGCGCCACGCCCATGTGTTGTGGATCTTGAACGCTCCAAAGGTCGCCCATGCAGCGCTGTAGATGGGTTACTCAATGAGCCGACTGGCAGGTAGTATATCAGAGCGTGAATACACACACGATGGATCCAGAATGCCAGAGGGAGTTGTATGCCGATGTGAGGGGAGCGCGGTACTTGGGATATGAAAGCTCGGCGACGAGCATCGGTGCAGCGCTCGCTAAGGGGGAGTATGTGTTCACATACAGCGCAGGCTCAAGGGTCGCCACTCACCAGCGAAAGTGAGACCGAAGCCGATCAGGAACCTGAATAATTTAGCACAGGCCGTAACCAAATCAAACGACGGCATTACCGAGCACCGATAAACATCCCAACGGACTGAGATGCAGTTTGGATGGCGGTAGCGATGACCATCATTAAAGCGCCGATGAATACCGTCGGCCTGCGGCCAATACCGTCACACAGATACGGCGCGAACGGATACCCGGCGAGGGCTCCAATATTCTGTAGCGCAGATGAATCACAAGGTCCAAACAGTGTCGCTACGCACTTGAATGGCACTAAGCAGGCCGAGCTTCCCCTTTGTCGGAAAATTGAAGTACGCTTCCCACTGCGGCAGAGACTGAAGGCCGTTCATCATGCTCCCATCGTAGCCGTTGGCGGACGATGTGATCAGGCTGCACAGAGTAAGAGATCAGCTCAAGGGGAGGGAGATGGTATACACATACAGCAATACGATCCAGCCATTGAGCGCGATAAGTCTGGGAAAGATGAGGAAAGCTCACAGACTCCAAATGCACGTCGTTACCGTCGGTTGTTGTACCATTTTCGTTTGGGGTCGATAAGATCGGTGTACGCGTTGGCATTTGCAGGCTTCGTGGGGATATCTGGCATGGTGGATGGTGGGGGTCCTGACGGAAGTCGGCGATTTGAAGCGGTGCGCCACGCTCGCTTTTTGAGTGGACTTGCATAAATACACAGCGGTAGAACGGCGATTCCGTGGGGAAAGCACCCCACAACGTCCACGGTTAATTTAAGAGTTTGAATTTGCAGAATTGGGGCCGGGGTCAGTTGACCACAGCTTGAAGTGGGAGCCGGTCCGTGTCGTGCGATAGTAATAGTGAAATGGCGAGTATGAAGAGTCACTGTAGTGTGAAGAATAACCAAAACAGACCAAGGCAAAGAACTTTAGGCTTCACGAGGCTCCGCAGTTTATAACAAGTGGTAGTGAGTGGCATTAAGGTTCTGTGCGAATTCCAAGATTGGCGTCACGTCCCGGAGGAAATAGATTCAGTCGATACCCCGGCGAAGCGTCGATATGCGGTGATCGATCTCGAAACGCTTCATCCAGCCTGGGCTTGGCCTGGAAAGCTCGCAATCCAGCGGCGCGGAGCGGGGAGAAAGCTGCCGCTCGGTCCACAGGCAGGAGATGGAAAATTGGGTGCTCCCGCCGCAGACGCGGGTGACTTCTGGCTGTGAATCAACGTCTGATGACGAAGGACTAGTGAGTCATCGATCCCTGAAAATACTTAGTCCGATTCTTCTCATCAGTGGTAGAAAGCTGGCTCCAACTCTTGCTGCCGTTCGACTTGGCCAAGCCGTGGCAGTGTTAGTCATGGACGACCAAGCACTGGTAAGCAGTGGCAAGCTGATGCAAAGCAACCACAAAGCATCGCCTGGAATGCATCGCTGCTGGAGCGTCCCCGAAATTACGAGGATGATCACCGAGACAATCGGTGGTACCACATCTGATCGGGTCGCCCTCAGCCGTCTAGCAGTGACCTGCCGACTACTTCTGGATCCCGCCTTGGATTCCTTATGGCGAAGACAGACCAGCTTTTTGCCACTACTGGATATCTTGATTGAAAGGAAGGCAACCGAATCGCCTTATTCCTTCGTCTGTCGTTCCACATGCCATTCAAGAGTTGCTCTGACGTTTTTTTTTAGTTCCTTGCTGCGGCGCTCAATCCTGACCATTGGGACCGTGTCATGTTCTACGCTCCCCGAATTAAGGAGATCTCGGTCACTCCCCATGACAGCGGACTCTCATTGGAGATCCTCGAGCTCTTCAGCATCTCTTGGCCAGGCGATTTCCTCTTACCCAATCTTCAGCGGTTTATCTGGAGCCCGGGAGAGGATTCATGGGTCCCGTATATCCGACTTTTCCTGAGCCCTAAGATCACTAAAATTGATCTGACGATGACTGGAGGGGTTTCGTGTATCGCTCTGCTGCCCTGTCTTCCGCGCAAATATCCGAATTTGGCGCATCTCACAGTTGACATGCCAGGGAGCTTTGCCGTCGATCACCCCACAAGTTGCGCAGTCTCGACCATGATCCAGTCGCTGCGCAAGATCCAAACGCTTTCTCTGCACTCCGTACACTCCAGGGATTTTCCGCACCTCGCATCTCTCCCCGCTCTGCGATTGTTGACCATCCTAAATATGGAGCACCGGCCATTCCCCGATCGATATCCTCCCCACTCCCATCCCACTTTCCCCGCCCTCAAATGCCTCTACCTTTATGAGGTTTTTAACCTCAGCGCCGTCACCAGCTTCATGAATGTGCTGTCGGATTCCCGGCTGGATGAATTCCGGATGACTTCGCGACGCCCTGCCGACGAAGCATCCCTTTCGTCACTTCTTTCGTCAATCAATCGTCGCTGTTCCCACCGCTCTCTCACCAGGCTCGATATTCGGGCTGGCGGTACCCAAGTACAAGCGGGAGGACTAAACTCCGAAGTACACACGTTCCTGTCAACCACGCTCCGGCCTTTGCTCGCCTTCGTCAATCTTGAAGACATCCGAATCGAAGCGCCGGTGGGGTTCTCCCTCGACGAGGATTTGATGGCGGCGATGGCGAGGGCGTGGTCACGAATCACATCACTTTTTTTTTGCACAGGAGGGGTCACTGTCCGACCGCCCGGACCCACACCCATTGTGACTATTCGAGCCTTGCAATTGTTCGCCTTCCATTGCCGGCACCTCTGTTATCTCTGCATCCCATTCACAGGTCATTTCCCCCCGATCCAAGATCGAGTTCCACACCACAGTCGGCCGCTGCAAACTGCGCTCAAGAAGCTCTACGTTATGCATTGCCCCATCGATTCCCCTTTCCCTGTGGCCGCGTTCCTCACCTCCATGTTCCCGAAACTGACGGACATTTACACTGGTAAAATCTCAGACGGGGCGGGCGAGGATAATCCACGAGTGAAGTGGAGAGAGGTCGAACGACTGTTGCCATTGGTGGCTACCGTACATGCGGATGACGAAACGTATTGGCGGGCAGAGCTGGGCAATCCCCGTTCCTAATACGCTGCGGTCGCTCATTTTACGTCCTATCTAATGCGAATTTATCCACACCAGACAATCCCGGTCCCACGAAATCGACGGCTTGTGCCCCTCTGAAAGACGATGATTTCTGGCTGCGGTTTGAACCAGTGAGCCCGACCGCATCACCTACCTAAATAGTATGCATTTTATCTCTCGGTCGCGTACAAGCTCGTTTCTAGAGGATGCTCAACTTTAAGCGTTACTCGTATTCTTCGCAAGCACCCCGCGGGCGCGCGCGTGCAGGAAATTGCCCTTAATCGATGGGTCGTCTGCGGAACGCGTGCGGGGTGTTCAATGAAATGTGAGCCTGCATGGCCAAAACTAAATGTGTCGCAGGCGAGATCGAGCTGCCGTGAACACCATTTGAAGTCTGAGCACGCCATATCACCATGCGCAGATCTTCTTGAGAGCAGACCTGGTGGCGAAAGGACTCGCACCCGCTTCGAATATAGTGTCCTGGATCCGATATTCTACGGCGGCAGTTCCTGGTTCGAGTCCAGGCTAGGTCTTGGTCTACGAAAGTCCGTTTTTGTTTTGTGCGCGGATTATTCGCGGGGTCCTAAGGAAGTCGGGATTATGTTGGTAGGACGGAGACATAGTGGTGAATGGACTCATTTCTGACATTGAGGGCGCGGCACTGGGCTAAATTTACATCAAACTCTCTAGTTCCAATAAATACTCAGGCCGGGTCTCATCATCTGTGGTGCGACCTTTTTGTCTTCCCCGTTACGCACAGTCCTCGCTCACGAGGCGTGGGTTATCTTAGTAGGAAAGGGACCGAGTGGCGAAAGGAATTGCATCCGCTTCGAATAGAAGATTGTTCGGCGATGTTCTACAGCTGGAATTCCTGGTTCGAATCCAGGCTCGGTCGTGGATTGGGGCTCTGCATTTTTCTTCCCCTCAACTGCTTTCCGGAGTAAACACGTGGACCATTGGTAGGAATAGGATATAGCAGCGGCGAGTCTCTACACACTACATGCCATGACTCAGGTATCACTGTCAGGTTACATTTTAAAGTTCTTACGTGGCACACCTGAATATGCACACATGTGAGTACAGTTCAAGCGGAATGAATCGCGTCCTTGGTGGTTGTGTTGCGATGAATAGTGTCGGAGGGAGTTCCCAGGTCGGGTCTTCCGCTGTTTGTTGGACTCCGCACTCCCCGCTGTATTTGCTCTAGGACGGGATTAATGCGGGGAGGAAGAGACCTAGTGGCGAAAGGCATCGCACCTTCTTCCGCTTTAGCTTCAAAGCTCCTGCGGCAGGAGTCCCTGGTTCGACTCCATGTCAGGTCTTGGGTTTCCGCATGAGTCTTTTTGCAGTCCTCGCCGAGTGTCCTCTGATTTTGACAATAAAATGGTGTTCATGGTGGTAGGAAAGAGACCTAGTGGCGAAAGGAATCGCACCTGCCTATAGTGGGAGATGTTTTAATGATTGCACAGCAGGAGATCCTGGTTCGATTCCAGGCTAGGTCTTGGACCAGATTGGGCTGTCTTTTGCAGTCCTCGACCAGCGATTTTGATAATCAAATGAGTTTCAATCTGGTAGGAAAGAGACCTAGTGGCGAAAGGGATCGCACCTGCTTCCGCTGTAGTTTCAAAACCGCTGTTTACGACAGGAATCCCTGGTTCGACTCCAGGCCAGGTCTTGTTATAATTGGGTTTCCGCATGATGTCTTTTGGCAGTCCTCGCCGTGGGACTTTGACAATAAAACGGTGTTCATGGTAGTAGGAAAAAGACCTAGTGGCGAAGGGAATCGCACCTTAGAGGCAACTTTTGTCGTGCTGCGGCAGGAGTCCCTGGTTCGACTCCAGGCTATGTCTTGCGTCGTCTGAGGTTGATTTCCTTTCGGACACCGCGCTTTTTGAGAATAAAATGGGTTCATGGTGGTAGGAAGGAGACCTAGTGGCGAAAGGAATCGCGCCTGCTTCCGCTGTAGCTGGTGTCAAGCGTAGTTTACGGCAGGAGTCCCTGGTTCGTAGGTCGTAGCCGTCGGATGTCGACTTTTTCTTCCCGGCCTTGTCCTCAAGTTCATAATTATATTCTCCTTGTCTTTGTCTTTGTCTCGCAGACCTCACGGAGCCTCGCAGACTACTTGCAGCCTCAACCACACTCGGCGCGCCAAACTGACGCGTGATAGACGCCGCGTGGGTTGTTCGCCGAACTATTACGCTCACTTCCCTTCCTCTTCCCCTTCTGCTCTCCCGTGACCCTCCCCGCACGCTCTTTCCCCCGAGGTATCTGCGTTCCCTGCCCTGAATGTGGGTTCAGGACAAACGGAGAGATACGAGACCAGACACGAATTCGAAGCAAGGAAGATAGGAATCAAGAGGAGATAGTTGTCAGTCGCCCGGCAGATTGAGACGGAGTTGGATTGGATAGATGGCTGATCAGTGGCGTTCAGGATTCACTGTTCGACGCGATCTTCGCTCTGCACCAAAATATCCCATATGCGAGGGTTCATCTCTGTAGAAGAAGACCCGGTGGCGGAATTTATCGCACCCTCACTTGCTCTGAGACACCCCTAAACGTTCCTGAGGGAGATCCTGGTTCGAATACAGGTCAGGTCATTGCTAAAATGGGGTTTTTTTTTTCTCTGGTCCTTCCGAGCAAAATAATCAGCCAGCCTGAGCCGACAGGATAGCGGCTCGAAATAGCTCATCATGGCGCGGGCCTCGCTGCCGGCCATCGCATCGCCTAGGACTCGAGAAGGGAAGGCGCGGATCGAGGGAGGGCATCATATTGTGCATGGTATAGCTATAGCCCGTTGTATGGGCAGAGATGGATATAAAATGTAAGTATGTAATGATAGATAGCGAGCCAGGGTATTTTTGGAGCTGGTGCTAGGACTACAGACAGGATAACATGGGATACGGAATAAGGAATACGGGATACGGGATAAGGAGTGTGGAAGACGGAAAGGGAGGGACTGAATGAATGGAACGCGGGTGATCACCGGCTAGTGTAACTTTTGAGTGCGACGCTGCTGTGATGATGCATTGTGGCCGATGCGGGGTGTTCGACGGGCGTCTCGCGGGGGAGGTATGCGGGGTGCACAGGATCCAGGAAGGAAGACGCCCTCAAACAGTCTCCCCCTCCGCTTCCGCCTCCGTCTCGCCCTCGCCCTCGCCCATGCTGCCATGCACCACGCGCCCGACAGAAGCCTTATGCACGCAAGCGCGGCGCAGTGCCGCCGCCACGCCGTAACATGCGCCGCGTCCGACAGCCCGTCCATGTCCGCGTCGACGTCCTCCAAGCCCTGCAGCCGCGCGCTCCACCACCGCCACCGCCCCCGTTCCAGCCGTCTCACTCCCCGGCGCACGGGGCCTCGGGGGCCCAGGGAGGTGGCGGCGGCGGGGGTGGGCAGCCCGGGCGGGGGCGGGCGCGCGGGGGAGGAGGGCGTGGAGGCGTAGACGGAGGGCGCGGGCGACGGGGATGACCGCATCGAGGGCGAGGGTGAGGGCGAGGGCGGGAGCGGGGAGCGCGGGGCCGGCGACGGCGGCCCGTGCATTGAGGGTGACGGCGAGGAGCGCATAGACGGCGAGGGCGGCCCGCGGAACGACGGCGACCGCGGCACGCGCAAGCTCAGCAGGGCTTGCACCGGCGCGCACGCGTGCGGCACGGCCGGCGATGGCGGGAAGCTCGGCGTCGCGGGCGGCGAGGGGAAGAAGAACGAGGACGAGCGCGGCGAGGGCGGCTCGGCGGGACGTGGCGGATACAAAGCGGGCGGGTGAGGAGCAAAGTGAGCAAGAAGAAAGGGGAAGGAAAGAAACGCATCTCCGCCGCGCACACGGCGCCGCGCATCTCGAGCAGCGCGAGTCCCGCCGCACCCTTCGTTATCCGCGTCCTATTCGTGGTGGTAGTACTCTGCGCTGCGAGCCCCTCGCCCACCCCCGCCCCGAGCGTGCTCGATCGTGCGCCGCTCCACGCGCGCGCCGAAGAGGACGTGCAGCCCGAGGCCTTCTCCTTCCCCTCCGTCCCCCTCCACGCTCCCTCCCGCACCGGACGCGCGCGCCAACACCCCGCCCCAGCGCCCCACGCGCCCCACGTGCGCCCCCGCCCCCGCCTCGTATATCGGGCGCGCCACCGCGATGTGCGGCACGCGCAGCGCCGCCCTTCCCCTCCCCCTCCCCCTCCCCTCCCTCCCATCCCCATCCCCACTCCCACTCGTACTCGTACTCGTACTCCCCTCCAGCCCCGGCGGCCGCACATACACCGCGCGCGCCGGCGCCTTCCACTCCATCAACACGCCCGCCCGCACCACCTCCCCCTCGGCCTCCGCGTCCGAAAGAGATAGAACGGCCGCGGGCTTGCGCGGGATGCGGTGCGCGCCGAACACGCTCGCACCCGCCCCCGCCCCCGCCCCACGTGCGCGCTCGGCGGCGAGGATCTTGCCCGCGAGCGCCTCTACCTCCGCGTTGTGTCTGCGCACGTGGTCCACCCGTGCTTCGGCGCGGGTCCGGCGCTCAGGCCTTGTTGTCGGTGGGGGCGGTGGCTTTGTCGTTTGCGGTACGACCGGGAGCTGGGGAGGGAGGGGGGAGGGGGGAGGCGCCAGCGCGCGTGATGAGGCGCGGGTGCGGCGAGGGTGACGGGAAAGCGGGAGGAAAGTGCGTTAGGGGCGTGCGAGGGGGGTGGTAGGGGGTCGGGGGGGAAGGTAGGGGCGGGGGAAGCTGGTGAGGTGCGCAGGGCGGGGAGGGGATCTAGGAAGTCGGAGCGTCCGTAGATGCTATTGATGGGCAGGGAACAGAAAGAAAAGAATAAGGGGTAGGTGGTAAAGGGAAGGAGGAACGAAAGAAAGGCGGAGGCAAAACAGGCGCAACACGCTTAAGCGCGCAGAATGGTATAAGAGCATAGCAGCCATGGATAAGGAAGAGCGGAGAGAAGGGTGGAGACGGTCGTAGATGACGAAGGATGACAGAAAAGCGCAGGAGTGTGTAGGCCATGGATGAAGAAAAGTATGAGCGCGATTGGCGGACGGAGGGGGGGAGCGGGCAGAGAGGAAAGGAGGGGTGCGTAACGGAGAAGGGAGGGAGTATGGTGCGCAGAATGGGGGAAGGATGTGGAGGTAGCAGCAAGCGGCGCGCGCATGGATAAGAAGGGAATTGAAGGAGGTTCGCCGTAAGTGCATTTCCTCAGGGTGGTACGGTATTTACAGGGAGATCCCGAAACCAGCGAAAGGAAGAGCGGAGATCGAATCACGATCACGTGATCCCATGTCATCGCGCCGTATCCGTGATCGCACGCTTTATCGACGTGGAACACTAACCTCCAAGTACAAATTCCCGAGCCGTGATCCACCTGCAATTACTGATCAAATTCATTTGATGCAGGGATTTTTTACAAGTAACAACTCCCTATAGGGAAATCCGGAACAACATGATGGCCATAGCGCGTCTGTATTTCTGCAGCTCGGGCTGGTCGAATTCTCGTCTAGTTCACACCGTAGAGCATCCTACATGTGCTTATCCGGGTAGTGCAGTACTTCGACGCAGTATTCATCGGACGCGTAGCGGCCAATTCCAATGTTTTTTCAAAATGAAACCAATCTGTTGGGCCATCTCAGGGGGAACTCAAAGAACAATTCATGATATTCCAAGTCGAATCAGTGGTACATGGAAGAATGCGCCCCATGCGGGTGTTAATCTACTCGGAGATTAACCTAGACTTCGTGTCAACACGCTCATGGGTCAAGACGGCAGTGCATTGAGGTCTGCGCCATGATCAACCAGAAGTTGCACGATATCTGAGTGGTTCTGTTGGGATGCAAGCTGCAACGCGTTCTTACCATAGAACAATGCACGAATGTCCGCTCCGTGGTCGAGCAGAATTTGTACAACAGCTTTGTGGCCTATGTACGACGCTTCTGTCAGTGCCCTGCCCGCATTGACATCCGCCCCGTGCTCGAGTAGCATTTTCACGACAGCTGTGTGGCCTTCGCGGGATGCGGCACGCAGCTCAACAACCCTTGCTTCCGCTCCGTGCGCAAGTAGAATTTGCACGATAGCAGTGTGGCCATTCTGGCATGCAGTCCCCAGCGCAGTAAACGGCCACATTTCCCCCGCATTCATGTGTGCACCATGATCAAGTAGGAAGGAGATAATATCTGTGCGGCCAATCTCGCACGCTCGGTGCAACGCAGTTCCACTTTGGTCTTCTCCATTAACGTCTGCGCCATGGCCGATAAGAATCTGCAGGACATCCTTGTTCGCCCACGCGGGCTGGGACACGGCGACTAGCAATGCAGTAGTCAGATTATTGTCGGCGTTCACATCCGCACCACGCTCGATTAAAAACTGAACAATGCTGGCGTTGCCCTCCTGGGATGCGAATTGCAACGGGGTTTCCCATCCGTAGTAGCCGAGTCCGTTTACGTCTGCGCCGTGATCGACTAAGATCTGGACGATCTCATTATACCCCCCCTGAGTTGCAACGTAGAGCAGGGAGTTATCGCCTGGGAAAGCACTGATATCAGGACGTTGGCCTGAATGGTCGAATACATCGGGTGAAGCCACTGCTCAGCGGTATTCACATCGAAAAGCGGAAACGTTGGGCGGCGGAAATGCTCGATTTGGACGCAAATGATTGGCGCGATGTCATCTTCTCTGACGAGTCAAAGTTCAATCTTTTTGGCTCGGATGGGAAGCAGTATTGTCGCCGCAGGCCGCACGAGGAATTGGAACCTCGAAATATGAAGAAAACAGTGAAGCATGGGGGCGGAAATGTGATGGTATGGGGTTGCATCACCGAGCACGGGACTGGGTATAACAAACCGAGGTACGAGGTTTAATGTTATAGCGTCAGTTTATAAGAGACTAGGGACTGGGCGGCTTCATCGCATCGACGGGCGTATGAATGCTGCCCAGTACTGTCACATTCTTGAAGAATCCTTCCTCGGAACCCTTTCCGACTACTCCCTTCAGCCATCTGAGGTCGTTTTCCAGCAGGATGGGGATCCAAAGCACACATCTGCCGCCGCCACAGCCTAGTTCCATGATCATGACGTGAAAATACTGCACTGGGCACCCTCCTCCCCAGATATGAACATCATAGAACATGCCTGGGAGCAGCTGGATCGCCAAATACGCGCGTGAGGGGCCCTACCGCAGAATTGTGATCAATTGTGGGACACTTTGAAGGAGGAATGGGCAAATCTCGATATGGGCTATATTAATAAATTGTACGACTCTTTGCCGCGTCGTGTTCAGGCTCTTCATGACGCGGGGGGAGCGTAAACCAAGTATTAATTTGTGTTTCTTGAAATTCAACTTGTTTTCAGTCTTTCTCGACCGGATCTGTTTTTGTTTGTCTAGGCCATTTTGGCCATTTTGATGTAATCACGCCAGCGATCAACAACGACGAGCTTGCTCGCCCCAGAATTTCTTGGGTGAAATCTAGTGTACATATGCTACAAATCCTACCAAGTAACCTAAGGAATTTAATCAAGGGATTGTGTCGAACCGTGGAAAATTGGCACTGCCAATAACTTTCTGCCGCCACTGTATATTCCCGCTACATTCAGGTACGGGTTCTTTTAGGGCGCCCCATCAAAGTGCGTTTTGGCGGACGATCACATTTTCGTCAGTCTTTTTGCGTAAGCACCTATTCTGTCTGCCAAAATTCTCCGGCTTGTAACCAGCCGAGATCTGTGCCGATGATTGCCGCGGCCGCACTCGTAAACATGCTGAGTCGTTTCTTTGAAAACGAGAACTCAGCAACCACTTCAGTTGTAACCCACACACTCCCACACAAAAAAACTAAGGAAAATCTCAGCCATGCACCTAAATTAAACGGGGATGTTGCACAATCAGAAATCAAGGTGGTGGAGTTGAAGACAAGGTACAGCTGATCTCGAAACTAATGAGACGGCCCGACTTTTTTTTTTTTTCGCGTTCCCAAAAAGGAATGTTTACTCACCCACGTCTAATCCATTTGATAATTACATGAGAATGAGTGCCTTGCCTCTCTATATGTTGCCCCTCCCTCAAAACGACATAGAGAAGCGTGAGTGCACGCCAATGGCCGAAATAATACACGCGATCAATACAGCACGTGACTTTCCGGGCTTTCCCGACTTTGCCGTTCCCGCATGATTTCCCCCTGTTTCGTGGGACGCTCTGGGTCAGGGAGCTCACAACTGGTCACTGGAACATCAAATTTCGTTGCAGGTACTCTTGGAGGTAAGGTAGACTTTTGTTTCGCTGGAATCTCCTTTTTGGGAACGAGCAAAAAAAAAACTGATCGATCTCATTAGTTTCGAGATCAGCTGTAAACACGGTCACGAGACGCCTGCGACGGCAACCGAGCGAGCGTTGGGCCGCAATTATTTAACGTTTGATGTATACTGTCTATCTGCGCAAAACTCAAACCAGCTTGAAAGACCCCAGTAATTAATTGGTAGTGGGCTGTGCCGCTTGTTGGCAAAAGGGCGCCGGAGGACGTTCTACACTCAAAAAAAAGTAGACCTAGTTTTCTTCCATATTTGGGACCTCGCTATCGGAATTTTGTTGAAATAAGCTCAGAAGGGTAGGTTGTTTGCAAGAGGATTTAATTCTTTGCAAACCAGTGAACTACAAGAGGGTAAACTACTGGGCTTTTATACTACTAAATCCTTATGCTAGAACCTTCTATACAAAATTAGAATCCACTTCGGGATGAATAAGTCGAACCTCGGGCTGAGTAAGACCACCGGACGGATCATAAATCCCATCATTGATCGGTAATCTCGGGTTCACATCCAACAAATTTCGCCCCATTCGGGGGTTGTCGAAGTGTCGAATTGGTTGAAATTTTTATGTGTCACCCCTTGTTGAAACGAAAAAAAAATACAGTATCATTTTATTATCCCCTCCACCTAAGATTATCACTCACGAGTCGCAGGTCATACTGCTATGAGAGACCTAGTAGCTGGACACAGTAACTCTGCATCAGTCAAGTCGTACACAGGGATTCCTGGTTTGAATCCAGGCTAAGTCTCAAGTGTGGAAATGACATCTTTTGGCAGTCCTCGCCGGGCGCCCCGGGACATTGATAATAAAGGGGTTCATTTCGGTAGGAAAGAGACCTAGTGGTGAAGGTAATCACACCTGCTTCCACTGCAGCTTCAAACGTAGTGCGGCAGGAATCCCTGGTTCGACTCCAGGCTAGGTCTTAGGACCTCAAAGGTTGATTTTCTTTTGGACGCCGCGCGCTGTGATTTTGAGAATAAAATGAAGTTCATAGGCGTATGAACGAGACCTAATGGCGAAGGGAATCGCACCTGCTTCCAGTGAGGATGACTCAATCGATACGAGCATAATGCAGTAGGAGATCCTGGTTCGACTCCAGGCTAGGTCTTGGGACCTCTGAGCCTCACTCCTTTTGGACGCCGCGCTCTGTGACTTTGATAATAAAATGGTGTCAATAGTGGTAGGAAAGAGACCTAGTGGCAAAAGGAATCACACCTGCTCACAGTGTGAAGGAATCTGATTCAAGGCAGGAGATCCTGGTTCGAATCCAGGCTAGGTCTTCCTCCTTTTGGACACCGCGCTCTGTGACTTTGATAATAAAGTGGGGTTCATTTGGGTAGGAAGGAGGCCTAGTGGCGAAAGGCATCGCACCTGCTGGGTAGAGTACGAAAATGGGAGAATGAGACCGTGTCGATGGCGTGCAAGAGTGGTGTGAAATGAGAGGAAGAATAGATGGCGTGATACTGCGATATTTGGTGGCTAAACTAGCCCACTGGTATGTTTTGCACTTGAGGGATGAGGTGCTCCGTTGCAGCCTCTAGGCACGTAGTCTAGCACGGGACATGGGATGGTGGTATGAGAGTGAATCACGATGGTGTGGCACTGTTTACGGTACAAACAGGTGATGTAAAAATAAAATGGGGATAAAGGTAAATTAAAGGTGAATGTCGGATGCGGAACAATTTCCACATCCCGGCCATCCGACCCTGCCACAACGGGTCCTCCGAATCCCTGCACCATCCACCACACCAGCTGACGAAATAAGTACTTGTTGTCCGGAATCAGCCAACAACTCTCGGTGCTGCACACCGACTTTCCTAACATGTCGGTCGTGCACATCACCATCTCGACACTCATGCTCGTGCTGACGAAAACCGTCGAGGACTTCCCCTCGCGGGCCCAAAACTCGCAGTGCGGTGGAGTCTGTTTTGTCTTTCTCTATAGTGCTAATCCAGGAGGCTAATATTTCTAGTGTGTGACACGGTGTGACACAATACCGCGGTGTCACGGGTGCGGGTACGGTATACAATTTGGATAAACCTGTGAAAGTGAAAAATGCTGTAGCTGTATTCAAACCAGCTAAAATGCTGTTTTTTCGAATTTCACCCGCAGTTGAAACCACGGTGTCACGGGTCACGGGTACGGTAGCCGATCGCGTTCCCACGGTATCCACCCGTGTCACACCCTAAATATTTCTACGATATATTTCCAGGAGGCAGAAGCACGTTGGTACACAAGTAATCATTGTATTGGTGAAGGAAAACTGTGGATAGTAAGTGTAGATGAATACCACATACTCTAGTTGTTTCCCTGCCAAAAGTTACTGTACCATTTTATTCAATTCATATGTCACAGATCACGGGGGCCAAAATATACGAAAAAATTCAAACCTGTCACGGGTCATCCAGGGGATGTTCGAATGTTCAAAACCAACTCACAAAATGGCCCCAAAATGCTTTAAAAACGACTTTTTTGCGCTCGCACAGCATGTTGAGCTCGAAACACCGCGGTGCTCTCACGGCCTGCCAATTTCTGGTGTGGGCGCAACCAAGGGCCTTGACGACGACCGAAGGTGGGACCATAATCTCCGTCACATTGAAGGTGGTGAGGGTCGGGGGGAGCTCTGCAAGATAGTCAGTCAGATTGGAGTAGACGGTGGATTTCTGCTGCAGCGGTAGCTGGAATTCGATGAGGCTGAACACTGGGAAGTTGTTGGGGGGAAGTGAGAGCTTTTCTGGCCCATCTGGGATCCTGAGTGCGACGGGAAGGCCACTCATCGCGGCTGGAGTGGCGGGATTCATGTAAAAAAGTCACTAGCGTAAATCATTGATGCAATTTACCACTTTTGGTGTTCCCTCGGCGTAGTGATTTCCCTGTGTATCAGGGAGTGTTCTACACTCAAGGTCGGTATTTCTACAACTTTTGGGAGGTTCCCAGCCACTTTTGGCGGATATTGGAACTTTTTTTCATGTCACGGTCCCCCGGTCCGAAATACGAAAACCAAAGTTCGAAGTTCTGGGTCACGGCTCACAGCCCATTCGAATTGAATAAAATGCCTGGACACTTTAGTGTTCCGGGTTCTTGTGGACATTTATTTTTTCATATATAGTAATTTTGGGGACAGCCACCATGGGACAAGGATGTGCCGGCGAAATAATAAAGCAACTCAATTCCGTACCGATCACGTGACAGATTACGCTTGGACAGCGTCCCGTCCTGGTACTAGGAACAAGGCAGGAGCTATGGTTCATGCATCCACAATCTAACAAAAAAGAACTCAAACGGATAAAAACTCATGGATGCGGAAATTTGATGATGTAGATAGGGGTCGATGGGGGCACTGCCACATTGATCCTTATCCTACACCTCGATCATGGTCACGGCAAGTTTGTCCTTCATGTATGTTATCCTTTTTTGGCACTTTCCTCTTCACCTTCCGCTTCCTCCCATTTCTAACAGCACTCTTTGCCTCAATAGGTTGGTTCTGTTCTCTTTTTTTGTTCCGTGGCTGTCCAGCATCCAGTAATGATATGGTCTCCCCTCCTTCGATGGTTGGTCCAGTCCCGATTTTATCCATTGGGATGCACATCCTGATCTTTGATGTCAGGCTCCGATTCCCCAGCATTCACCTCTGTGAACCTAGTGCTGGTTTGTCAATATAATAGGTCACCGCTTAGTGGCTATGCTTCGAAGACGGCCGTATCCAAATGGATTGGCCTCTCCTTGTCACATATACTGTCCCTTGCCACACGGCAGTGGCAGCAATACTCCTTCCTGTCAGTCAGATTTTATTTTTACTTGTTCCAAAGAACAGCCTGTCCAGTTGAAAGCAACCTTGTGCTGTCGGTGATATGTGCAGTGCATGAAAGTTGGGGGGGCAGTGCCGCAGGAGGTAAGCCTAAAACTGGTTCTGGCATACTCTGTGAGTTGCTGCACTGGGTCCACTGATAAGCCATGTACAAACCACAGGTGTATTTTCGCATTTCGCGTCTTTATACTTATAAAGCATGCTCTCTCTATTCTATAAGAGGCTATCGGGAGCTCCGAACGAGTAGCTTAACAGTCACATAGCTTAGGTTCTCTATTGGCATGATCCTATGGCGGTACCTCGACTTGGGGCCAAAGTACGACTTACCGAGAACAGGACTAACTACCTTATATCAGTACCCGTGTGCATGCGGATGAGCTGAGCGCTAGACTAGTATCAAGGAGATGGGAAGGAATACATGACATCACATGCAGGCGACTGGGGCCTTCCAAAGCGGCCGACTTCGAGATTGTTTACCATTGTGTCTCTTATCGAGAACAGCACGACAAGTCACATGATGGGTCCAGACCCTTGGATGGGGCGAGACTTCTGTAAATAGACACGGCCGAAGTGAGTTGTCGGCAGCCGAGTGTGCCTATGCATCAGAATAGCTGTGCCAGTTAAACATCAAATCACGATGGCACCGGCACTTACCGAGAACAGTGGGACTTTGGTCCAACACAACAACCAGACTAGCTACAGACACGGGGAAAGTGTCTACAGGTAGCCATAGCATAGACGATGAAGACTGACGCTCGGGATGAGCACCAGACAAAGAAGACACCAGTCCGGAAGACTTGATCTGATTAACCAATAACTCTCAAACTGATCGTGCACCAAGGAGAACTCTGACTGATAGAGCCGGCATGTGACCAATAGGAGCCAGGGGATCCCCTAAGATTGTCCCACGACTCCACGCCGGGACGGAGACCTTTCCGAGATGTAGTAATAGATGTGTTGTAAAGTCGAGATCCCAGTAGTATAAAAGCACATAGTTTAGAGAGGTTCTGGAGCAGACTGCTCGATGGTTTTGTGTACAACTCGTGTGCACAACATCATTTGGTTTACCTTGTTCACAGGCACATTGATGCTGTGGCTAGGCTTAGTCTTTGACTCTTCTAGAGCAGACTACCTTAGGGTTTTGCGCACAATGGTGCACTGACATCACCCGGTTTACCTTGCCCACATACACAACGGTGGTGTGGCTCGGAGTTGTTGTTTAGCTCTAAGACCCTAGTGACCGTTATCTCGAACCAAATACTGTACCTTTGGTAACAATTGGATTGGATTGGATTGTATCTGTGATTGACTGTGTGATTGAATTGTGAATTGTGTGGACTCTGTCCAGCACTGCGGGTCATATTTTGTGTGTGTTGTGTGTGTGTTTTGTGTTCTGTGACTTGTGTTCAGTGTTTTGTTATATACTGTGGTCCTGCAGGAGTGTATCGTGTCCCAACCCGGAGAAATCCAACAAACCCGTCTTAATTGACATAAACTCACCGGCTACTGGCCGTTATTAACCCATGAATCCACTGCTTGTACAAAGTCTCAAACATAGCGCGTATTGCTCGACTTTGGTTTCACAACCCTTGTCTATCCCACTCCCCTGCTCTCTGAACAGTAAACGATCCATTGACCTAATACTTGGTCTTTACCCCCAAACACCTGCAATTATCATCACTCATAAGGAGGAGGAGGTGTTGTTTGATTGATTGTTTAGTTGTTTATTTTGGTTTAGACCATTATCTCGGCTTCATAGTCATTGTTCCACCGCACCCCGAGTAGCATCGTTTCATCGCATCATACACTCTAACTCTGGCCAGTGAATCTGCCGATTCTTTCGGAGCACATACAATGTCTTCATCTGACCAAGGCTGCCATGGGACAGCTGCAGTCTCAGACAGTGGAGCCATAGTGGTTCACACCCCCAGGCACTTTCGGTGGAGAACATTAGTGCTTTCAGAGGCGCCAGGAAAGGAAAAAAGTCAAGACCGAAGTCTAGGGATCTCCCGAGGATCACAGGACTTCATATCACGTGCAGTTCCCGGTTTTGAATTTTGTTTTTGGAGAGAGGCCTGGTCCCTAAATCGGTGTTGCAGGAAGTTACAGTCGACTCCCTCCTAACCCATAACTGTCAAAACCCATAATCTGCTCACACCCATACTTTTAGGGATCTACCAGCGCAGTTCTCAATTAAAACCCATAATATTCTAATACCCCATAATCCATACAGCTTTCATGGTTCATAACCCATAGTTCCCTGCGATAAATGAATCTGTGCTTCCTTACGATGCTTCGGGAATGCTCCAGCATGTCATTCTGCCACCATCGTTGGCCAGGAGTGGCTCATGTGCGCTGTTTGAGCGCTTTCCCAGCCTTTCGTTGCACACGCATGTCTCCCGCACTCCTTAAAAAAGGTCTCACTGCATACAAAGAACGGGTCAAAAAGCAAAAGGATGACCTAACACAGCT